CTGCCCGAAAGACTGACAGACTGACAGCCCCGAAACTTCACGGGGAGGGGAAGGAAAAACGCCGGGGGAGAGGGAGCTGGGCAGCGGCGCCCTCAAGGGGGAAGAGAGCGAGGAAGCGGGAGCGGAGCCCCAGGCACCAGGCTGGGGAGGTCGGGACCGTGGTCTCGGGGAGCGGGGTCGAGGGACGTGCACCGCGGGGTGAGGTGTGCAGGTGAGGGTCCTGAGGCCCGACGCCCGCGGGAGAGGACGGAAAGTGGGAGCTCTGGACCGGGGGGAAGGGGGAGGGAGGGAGGAGGGAGGGGAGGAGGGAGAGGAGACCGGGGAGGTAGGGCACTCGGGCTGCGAGGGAGGGTGCTCGCAGCCTCGGAGGGAGGAGCCGGGGAAAGGTGGAGCGCGGGAGGGGTGAGGAGTTGCCGGGAAGAGGAGGGGGCGTGTTCGGATGGGAGCCTGGAGTCTTTAAGTCGCGAGTACGGGTCGGGTTTGTGGCCCCACCGCGGTCCTGCCAGAGACGTGACGGGCTGACCGTGGGGCAGGGGGGGGGCTGAGAAACTCCTGCCGGTCCCGCTCTACACCCGATCCTACCCGGATCCACCCAGACCCCTTCCCTCCAGCCTAGACTCCCGAGGCTGGAGCTGAGACCCCCTGCGAGAACGGTGGAAAGGGGCCCAAGGAGAGAGGGCCTTCCCCGCCCCCCAGTAGAAATTGGGGAGGAGGTTCTGAGCCGAGACCCCCGGGAGGAGGGGCGGCTGGCGCTGAGGCTGCAGGGGGTGAGGCTGGGCGGTGACTGCGTGGGCGGGGCAGGGAGGGGTGACAGAGAGGGGAGGGCCGTCTGTACTAGGTGGGCCCTGCCGGCCTCAGGTGTGGAGGGCTGTCCTCTGAGCCCCGGGGCCTGGCCGCTGACCCCGCCCCGGTCCTGCAGTTTCTCCTCAGCCTAGCCGGTGAGGCTCCACTCCCTAAACTCCTCCTGTCCGGTCCTCCTCAAGCTGGTTATTGCAGACCTCCTCCCCACGATCTTTCTGCCTGCTCCCCTGAATTCCGACTTCCTCCCTCCTGCCTGTGACTTGTGTTTCTTCCAAAGCCCAATGATGCCCTATTCATGACTGCTGGAATCCAGAACTGGAGTAAACCTGAGAAGGGGAGGCCAGTGAATGGCCCTAGTGGACGGAACAAGTGCCCCTGGCTATAGCACCCAATCACAGGAATGGAGACACCTATGGAATCAGAGTACATTGACCCAAGGCAGACCTTGTAGGACGCAGTAGCACAGCACACAGCAGGGGTGTCCACAATGTCTGTGGATGGTGAGAGTGAGAGGCCCAGGGACAGCCGGACCTGGAAGAGCAGGTGGTCCTTCCCATTCAGCTTAGAAAGGCTCTTCTGTATAATGGATGCTGATTAGACTGCAGGTCGCCCTGGGAGCAAATGTGTACCTCTGTGTGTGCTGGGCTGGAGCAGGGGTGTCCACATGTAGGTCACAAAAGGAGGAGTAATATGTGAGCGTTGAGAAAGGCTGGAAGAACAGTAGGCTCACCACACACCCTGGCTCTTTTCCAGGACTACTGGGTCTAGGATGCCAATCCTAGCTATCTGTGAGCCCTGGAAGAAGCTCAACATGACCCTTTTTATTTGGCCCCAGGTTCCAGAAGGAAGCTGAACCTAGCTCTTGTTCAGCCCAGGTGGGATGACTATTCAGGATACTCAGTGGGACATCAGGCTTAGGAGCTGGTGTGTCAGTCTGAGGTCCAGGCCGTATTCCAGCCTGAGTGTCTCAGAGCTCTGCTGGTAACCAGGATGTAACCAGGATTCCCCTGAGGAGCCTGTTGCTGCCCTCTCCCAACCGGACACTGAGATCACTCCATCCGGCTCAGCCCCCACCCAGGTTGGGGGTGCTGTCTTACAGCCCCAACCCCACTTCCCACCCAAATTCTCCTTCTTGGTTCCCCTCAGTCCTCCACCCAGGGACCCTAGGAAACCCTAGTATTTAGAACCCCAGGGACCCTAGGAAACCCTCACAGAAGGAGACCGGATGGCCCAATCAGCCACACATCATCGTCTCATTAAGAAGTCTGACCAAACAGAGGAAAGCACATGGTCATCCAGTTTCCCTGGCCCTCAAATCCTGAGTGCCTGGCAGGAAAGGGGACAGAGGAGATCGTAAAGGAGCATGATCAAGTCAGCTTGAGGGCAGGTAGACCAACCAATCGCTGAGCCAGTAACTCTCGATCTTTCGATGGCGCCATGCTCCCCCCCCCCAGCATCTAATACACATTATGAAACTGTCCTTGGAAGATTATGCACACATACAGTTTCAAAGAATTCATGGAGTCCCTGAGTCCCATCTGTGCATCTCTGGGAAGTCCCTGAAGTTTTTACTAGTAAGGAAACCGGCCCAGAAAGGGAGGGTAGCTTGCCCATAGCCCATGTTCATTTGTGGTAGCCTCTGAAAGTATGGGAATAGCAGAGGCTCAAAGCAACTGGCTTTGATCCCCATCGTACACACTGGAGGGAGGGGCTGTTTCCAGGAGGAGCTGGCACTGAGAGGATTGTCAGGGCAGATCCAACCAGGTTCTGGGCAGCTGTGCCTGGAGGTGCAAGCCCGTCATAAAGCCTCCCCAGTACAAAAGGCCTACAGCCTGGCTCTCTCTGTGGCCTTGGACAGATTGGCCTCCAGGTCACAGTAGGCAGCAGTGTGGGGTAGGGGGACCAGCACTGGCCTCTCTATTCCCCTGCAGCAGCACTGCCCAAGCCCAGGCCTCACAAGACCCTGGTGGTGACTGGGGTGGGCAACATGCTCCTCCTTGCTGTCCTCTTTGGGATGCTCTGGGCACTGGCTAATGGGTAAGCAGTCCACTGGGACTCCTCAAGCTAAGATCCTCTCTAGCCCCAGGCCTGGGGACACCCTGGGCACCAGAATGATCTCCCTAGTGCTTCTCTCTCCAACCTTATCCTCTTCCTTACTTCAGGGACCTTTCCTGTAAGTTATCTCTTATAGGAGTGGGGTCACAGGACAGGGCTTCCTGGTAACAAAGGGGACATGGCAGCTGCTGTAGTTCCCTATCCATGGACAGGCGATGGTGTGAGCAGACGGAGACGATCCATGTGGAGGAGGAAGTGGCCCCCCGTAAGGAGGATCTGGTGCCCTGTGCCAGCCTCTACCACTATACCCGCCTAGGCTGGCGGCTGGACCTGCCCAGGAGTGGCCACGAGGGGCTCTCCGGGCCTCCAGCACCTGGGCTCTGTCGCATATACAAGTGAGTGAGGGTCAGAGCCTGGGCTGTCTGCCAGGCAGGAAAGGAGTGACGGGCGGAAATCCTGAGAGTGGGGGAGGATGGGGAGAACCTGGCATAAGCAGGCATTTGGGAAGTGGGCCCTGGGTGGGCTCGGGGAAAGGCAGCAGAAAGTACAAGACTGGGGTGTGTAGATGAGAGGTACCTCAGTGGGTGGGGCAGAGAGAGTCCCAATGCCTGCTCCCTCTGTCTGCCCCCAATGACATTCTCACTTTTCGAGTGAAGAAAGGAGGAGGAAAATTATGTGATAAATCCCTCAGAGAGTAGTTCAGTGGTCCCATTGTCCCAGGCCTTTCCAGGGCTGGGCTAGACACTAACATCTCTCCCTGATTCCCCCTGCTTGGTGGGTGCAGACCTCCAGAAACTCGGCCTGCCACATGGAACCGGACAGTGAGGGCTTGCTGTCCAGGCTGGGGGGGCGCTCAGTGTACGGATGGTAAGCTCCTGAGCCAGTGCGGGTGACACGTACCTTCTGGGATTGTGGGCAGCTAACCTCACTCACGTCTTCAGGGGAGGGGATAGGCTCCCTGAGGAGGGGAACTGACCAGGCTGAGCTACAGGCCACTCTGCTGACTGTCCGGGTGTGCCCCATTCTCTCCACCATATGCTGCAGCCCTTATGGAAGACAGCCCTGGTGGCCACTGCTTTGCCACATGGCAGTGCCAGCCTCTGGGAGGTTCAGCTAATACTTCAACAGAAAACCTGGAAGAGTGCTGTGCCAGACCTTGGGGACACAGCTGGTGGGACAGTGGCTCTCAGCTCTGCCTTAGCTGTTCCAGCCAACACTTTCCAGGTGGGTCTGCAGACCCCAGCCTACAGACAGGGCACATCCTGGCCATCATCCCCATGCCAGGCCCTCAGCTCTGGAATCCTGCCTACTCCCCTGCCCACCAGAGTAACCATGCCTTATCCCCATGCTTCCTGCTCTATGGGCCCTCTGACCCCTGCACTCAGCAGCTCACATGTGACGTGTCGTGTCCAGGCAATGCTTCCTCTGCAGTCCTCTTGCAGCCCCTACCGGGGGCTGTGGGTCAGCTCTGGAGCCAGCACCAGCGTTTCTCAGCCACCTGTGCCACCTGGTCAGGCTTCCACTACCATACTTTTGATGGGCGCCACTACCACTTCCTGGGCCACTGCACCTATCTGCTGGCAGGAGCTGCTGATTCTACCTGGGCTGTCCACCTCAGGCCCAGGGACCACTGTTCACAACCTGAGCACTGTCAGCTGGTAAGGGAGGGAAATGGGGGTGGCCCCAGAAGAGGACTAGACGTGGGGGGATGGGGAGAGTTGCTGACCCTATTTCACTGTGCATCTCCCCAGGTCCTGGTGATAATGGGCTCAGAGGAGGTGCAGATCCAGGGTAGAGATGTTTCTGTGAAGGGGCAGCTCATCCCTGATGGGGAGCCCCAGCTGCTCCATGGTGAGGACCCTGTGGGTCTGCTGTAGAGGGTCAGTGGGGATTGGGGCTGTTGCCTGTCCCACATCGTTATTGGGAGGCCTTTAGAAATGAATAGCCCCCAGGATGGGGGCCCGGTGCCTCCCACTCCCCACCCACTCTGAGCATGACCCTGGGCAAGTCCCTCGCCTTAATCTACCTGAGCCTCAGTTTCCCCACCTCCCTCGTGAGAGTGTCATTCTGAGTGGGACTGCATGAGGCCGGTGAAGTGTGGATGCGTGTGTATGTGTGTGTGTGTGTGTGTGTGTGTGTGTGTGCCAGTGCCCAGTGTGTGCATGAGCGTATGTGTATGTTGGTGTGGTACATGTGTAATGTGCCGTGTATATTGGTGTACTGTGTGAAGTGTGTGTATGTGTGGTGCATTGTGTATATATGGTATGTGTCTGTGTGCTATGTGTACGTGCAATGTGTGTGTGGTGTGTGTATGTGGTATTTTGTGTTTATGTATTATGTATACATGTGTGTTGTGTACACAGGGGTTATGAAGTGTGTATGTGTATACTGTGGGGGTGCATGTAAGGTGTGTGTGTGTGTGTGTGTGTGTGTGTGTGTGTGTTGTAGTTTAGTCTAAAGAGTGTCTACAATGGGAAAGGCGCAGAGCTCTCTAGAATGGTCAGAATTCTTTCCCTTCCCCGCTGCCTCCTTGGGTAGTTGGAGTCCTGCTGTGGTGGTGAGCAGGGACTATGGCTACAGGAGGCTGAATGGCACCCTTTCCCTTCCCAGGGCTGAGCCTGCAGTGGCAGGGGGACTGGCTGGTGCTATCCGGGGGCCTGGGGGTTGTTGTGCGGCTGGACAGGTCCAGTTCGGTGTCCATCTCGGTGGACCATGAGCACTCAGGACAGACGCAGGGCCTCTGTGGGCTCTACAATGGCCGGCCCGAGGGTAGGTAGGATGTGCTTGGTAGCTGGTCAGGGAGGAAGAGGGAACTGGACCCCAAGTCCAGCATCCAGCATCTCTGCTTCACCCTTCCTTAGATGACTTTTCCGAGCCAGGAGGGGGCCTGGCTATGCTTGCTGCCACCTTTGGGAATTCCTGGAAGCTCCCTAGCTCTGAGGTAAGACTGCCACCCTGGGCTCCTCCTGGCTGCTCTCCCCTGGCTGAAGGGGGCACAGACGGACTCCCAGGGGGAGACCCTCAGGGGGAGAGCAGGTAGGCCTCGTATCCCACAGGAAGCTCAGTGCCAGGTGCTGCCTGCAGTCTGGCTGTCTTGTGTGAACTGACCATCAAGGGGCACCTTGGCCAACCTCATCCCTGACCACCTTTGGTGGTTAGTTCATCATCTAATCGCCTGCTTGCGGTGGTCTGTGACCCTGAGTCCCTTGCCTCCCCCTTGGGCTTGTCCCCACTGCCCTCCACAGCCCATATCATGGTGGGAACAATGATGTGGCCTCAAAGTGGCTAGGAGGGCAGTGGTCATTTTCCTAGTTAATGTCCCTCATCACTGCTACCTGGCCTGGCTCCATTTGTCCCCAGCCTGGGTGTCTGGATGCAGTGGAGGTGGATCAGGGCTGTGAGGGACCCCTGAAGGGCACAGAGGCAGGTATGGATGCTGGCCAGCTGCGAGCTGAAGCCCAGGATGTATGCCACCAGCTGTTGGAGAGTCCATTCTGGCAGTGCCATGCCCAGGTATGGGTGGGGGTGGAGGTGGTGACCAGCTCCAGAGGGGACTGTCCAGAGGGTGGGGCCAGGAGGGTACTAGAGAGGAGCCAGTTAAGCGACCCAGTCCTGCCGCTAGACTCTGTTGGTCCCTTGGTCAAGACACCCCTTCCTGTCCTGGGCTTTACCTCTGGGAACAGGCCCCTTCCAGAGTTCAGCGGGTGGGAGGTGCTGGTGAGGAGAAGGCGCTTGCCAGCTGACAGGCCGACCTTTCTCTGCAGGTCTCCCCGGATGAGTACCACGAGGCCTGCCTCTTTGCCTACTGTGCAGGGGCTGCTCTGGGGCGCCAGGAGGGGCGGCAGGAGGCTGTGTGTGCCACCTTTGCCAACTATGCCCAGGCCTGTGCCAGGCGACGCATCCACGTGCTCTGGAGGAAGCCTGGCTTCTGTGGTACGACTTGACCGCCTTGCCCTGTGGAAATGACCGAGGGTCCTCAAGGGCCTCATTTTCTGAAGGCACTGCCACCCCTGGGCACCCTCCCAGCTGGCTCCTCTGGCTTCCTGGCTTTTCGGAGTCGGCAGGGTCTGGTGGAACACCTCCGCCCCTCACAGCCGACTCCTGTGTCCACAGAGCGTCTCTGCCCCGGGGGTCAGCTCTACTCCGACTGCGTCTCCTCCTGCCCCCCCAGCTGCTCGGCAGTGGGCCAGGAAGAGGAAGGGTCCTGCAGGGAAGAGTGTGTGAGTGGCTGCGAGTGCCCACCTGGCCTCTTCTGGGATGGTGCCCTCTGTGTTCCTGCCTCCAGATGCCCCTGCTACCACCGGCGCCAGCGCTATGCCCCTGGCGACACTGTGCACCAGCTGTGTAACCCGTGGTGGGTCCTCAGGCCTTGATGGGGTGGCAGCAGCGTGGTTGTCTCTGGTCCTGCCCTTTGTGTTTTCTCTGAAACCTGCCTTCCCCAAACAGCCAGGCTGTTCTGGCTGTGCTCCCTCCTGGCATGGTCACAGTGACCTGTGATCTCTGCTGACATAACTGATGGCCTTTCTTAAAGCCCTGACCAGCTGACCTCTACCCTTTCCAGGGGTGGTGGGGACATCAGAGAGGCAAGGGAGCAGGGTATGGGGACTGACTCCAGCTTAGCCTCCCCACCCCAGGGTGGGACTGATGCCACACTGCCCTGCCCCACCCATGTGTCCACAGTGTGTGCCAGGATGGCCACTGGCACTGTGCCCAGGCCTTGTGTCCTGCTGAGTGTGCAGTAGGTGGCGATGGGCATTACCTCACCTTTGATGGGCGGAGCTTCTTCTTCCGGGGCCACTCAGGCTGCCACTACAGCCTGGTGCAGGTGGGTAGAGGACCGACTCTGGGAAAGGGATCTTACCAGAGAAGGGTCCCTCCCCAAGGTGTCCAGGGGAGGGGGGCTGTAGGGAAAGCACACAAAAAAATAAATAAATAAATATAAAGCAAAACCCTAGCCCTGCAAGGAAAAGCCCAGAAGGACAATGCTGGAGGAAGACCAGCTCCCCAGACCCCAGAGCCTCTCTTTGGGTTCCCACCCCTTCCTTTGGCTCTGGTGAAGGTCCTGCTGTCATGGCCATTTCAGGGCCACCAAAGAAGGCCATCCTTATGTTCCTCTTCACAAATGGGGCAGGACAGGCTTGTCAGAGCCACTTCAACAAGACAACCCCAGGGGGAATAAGGACCCTTCTCCCATCCCAGCCCTCCCCCAATAAAGATGGGTCCTTTCTCAGGGTCAGCACAGATCACATTCCTTTCCATTCATCCAGGGTCCCCATCTCAGTAGTGGACCACTCACATTCTTTTGTTTGCACCCCTCCTTTCATGAGCAGTGTGGGGCATAGAGACTGGCTGAGTAGGATCCAAGCGGCCATCTCCCCGAGGCACACAAAGACCAGTGGGTACACACACACACACACACACCTGTATGCACACAGACACAAACAGGCAGGCACACAGCACACTCAGGCATGCACACATGGATTTAGCAAGTGTAAGTCACTTGGAGTGTAACGTCCTACCCATGGGGAGGAAAGATGGGAATCATCCATCCCTCATGCAGACACAAACAAATGTGCAATCACATATACTCATGCAACCCCATGCACACACTTGCACAAGCATTTGTGTGTGCTAATCTTGGTGAGGATCAAGCCCCATCTCTCACAGTGTCTGTCTGGCTGGAAAGCTCCCACATGGGTAGGAGCTGCCTTGGATGAGGCTAAAGATCTGCAGAGGCCTCCTCAGGGAAACGGAGGGTCTGCCCAGCCCTGTGTTCCTCTGTCTGT